GTGTGGTGGCTCAAGCCTGTAATCACAGCACTTTGGGAGGTCGAGGAAGGTGGAACATAAGGTCAAGAGATCGAGACTATCCTGGCCAACATGGTGAAACCCCGTCTCTACTAAAAATACAAAAATTAGCTGGGCATGGTGGCGCGTGCCTGTAGTCCCAGCTACTGGGGAGGCTGAGACAGGAGAATTGTTTGAACCCAGGAGGTGAAGGTTGCAGTGAGTGGAGATTGTGCCACTGCACTCCAGCCTGCCACCTGGCGGCAGAGTGAGACTCTGTCTCAAAAAAAAAAAAAAGGGAATACATTCCATGGTAGGATTTCAGAATGCATGCTCATGTCTTCCCAAGTGTCCAGTTCATTGGTTTAGGCTGTTTTCATTTGACAGCTATCACCAGAAGCTCCTTTGTGAGCCTTGCTTGAGGCAAAGTTCTAGTAATGTGATTCAAGGGATGCTGAAGTCCTCCCCCCAAAAATATAGATCCACATATCTTCCCCTAGGCTAGAATTCCCACTATTAGTCACTGCTCAGGAGACAGAGATGCCTATCCCTGGGAGAGTAGGCTCATTTCCAGCTATTAAATATGCCTCTGTAAAATCAATACATTCAAGTCTTCTCTGAACTTGCCGTACATTTTCTCACTTCTGTACCTGGTCAGGGACACTTGGAATGCTCTTACATCTCTTTGCCATTTGTTCAGTTGCTTCTCAAAATCAGAGATCTGGCCCAAATGTTTTTTTTCTCATTTCATTGCCTAAATCATTGCCTATCCATTGTGACGTCAATGGAGCACATTTATACTTCACTAATTCAACATTAAATGAAAAGCAGGAAGTTAGAAAACGTTGAAAATAGAGAAATAAACACTGGTGTCTGCCCTTCAGTCCTCACGTCCTCCAAAACAGCTCCCAATCATTCATAGATATGAGGAAAAAATGTTAATAAAATATTTTAAAACCCTGAAATTTAGAAATTTGCTTCAGGAAAAAAACGACTTGGAAATAGATAAATGGCTACGTAACTTGGCAGGGACTGTCTGTGATAGAGTTAGAGACATTTGTCAGAGGCCAGCAGATGCATCAGCTGTTTGTGCTGGAGGATCAGAGGTGAATTGGCTTGTGTACTGCTCACACGATCTCCTGCATCTTAGGTATGTACCTTGTCTCCTCAAATACATCATGTAGCCCTAAGAAGGAAGGATTCCCTCGCTTTATCAGCCCTCCACATGGTAATGCATGTGTGAACTACTTCTTCCCAGAGCCAAGATCTGAGGAAAAGGTATTGTTTTTTTATGGATATAGCAGATAAAATAGAAATGTATATGTATTTCGGCCTTGCCTTCTTTTACCTTCATACATTTACAATCTTAGTTCTCTTAATTAGTCATCACAACTCTTTCCATTTTTCATAAAGTGTTCCAAAAAGTGATCTAAAACTCTTGGGAAATACCTTACCAAAAAAGATCCTGCCTCAGAATAACCAAGACCTAGCTAAATAGGGTTCTGTGGGGATACGGGGGTGGCTGGCTATAAATCCTGGGAACTTTGGATTTATAGGCCTACAAGAGATTTGCATAAAGAGTCAGGCTAGAGCTGGAGTAACTTCATAGCCTGAGGTGGGGCACACACCCTCCACTCTTTCTTCTCCCACTTTATGAAAGGCAGATCCTGGAAACTAATACAGCCTATGAGAAAATCCTGGGTTTAAATTCTGGATTTGCCACTTGTGAGCTATCTAACCTTGAGCATGTTACTTTACCTCCCCAAGTTTTTTCATCAGCAAAATGAGACTCATAGCACCTTACCCGTACAAGCCTTTTTTTTTTTTTTTTTTTTGAGACACAGTCTCACTGTGTCACCAAGCTGGAGTGCAGTGGCATAATCACGGCTCACTGCAGCCTCCATCTCCTTGGTTCAAGTTATTATCCTGCCTCAGCCTCCCAAGTAGCTGGGATTACAGGAATGCACTACCAAGTTTGGCAATTTATTTATTTATTTTGTATTTTTAGTTGAGATGGGGTTTCACCATGTTGGCCAGGCTGGTCTCGAACTCTTGACCTCAAGTGATCTGCCTACCTGGGCCTCCTAAAGTTCTGGGATTGCAGGCATGAGCCACCACACCTGGCCCAAGGCTTATTATGAGGACGTGAGATAAAGGATGTAAAGGACCTGTAATTACAGTAAGAATCATTTTATAATTATTGTTGAAAAAACAAGTTTCCATAAGGGCAATGTTATGACAATAAGGACTGTAATCCCCCTAGTATCCAGAGTTCAAATGAGCCTGGAGAGAAGAGGGTAGGAGAGGTAAATAGGGCAGTGAAGGAGCTCCCAGATTCTTGTACATCAGCTGGGACCTTGTTAGAAATGCAGAATCTTAGGTCTTACCCCATGCCTACGGAATCAGAGTCTGCACTTATCATCACACCCAGGTGATGTGTGTGCACGTGAGAATGGAAGAAGCATCCTTGTTAGATATTCCTCTTCCTTTGCTCTTCTAGCTCCTTCCTTTCCTCCCCTCAGACAAGAGGACTTTGTCAGGCAAATATGACCACAAACCTTCTCCTGAAACAGCTCAAAAATAATCACAAAAACAGTAATGATGAACAATATGTGCCACATACTGTTCTACACACTTGGCAATGTATGAATTTATTTAACCCCGACAACAAGATGAAATGAATACTATCATCCCCTTTCCGCCATTGAACATACCAAGACGCAGTGAGGATAAAGTCACTTACCAGGGGTTGTACAGTCAGGAGGTACAGCTTCTGCACCAGAAACTGGGCATTTTGGATCCGGAGTCCTTGCTCTTGACTGCCACAGACTCCAGCTTTCCCTTTTACCTCTCCAAATCAAGGGGGAACCAAAGAATGTGCTTCAAGCAACGATGCACCTGCCTCTAGAAATAGAAGTTCACAGGGCTTAATCTGCCCCACATCCCCAGTCAGAGTTCAGAGCTGAGTTTCTCCTCCCTAAATTTAGGCAGTTGCTTCCTCAGCAGACTTGCAGCCTGTGGTCTTGCTCCCATTCCAAGCTATTCAAACACTGTAGCCAGAATTATCTTTTTAAAGGGCAGCTCTAGTCTCCTGTTCCCAAGTCAAAATTTCAATAGCTTTCTTATTTGAATAAAAATTACCTGCTTCCACTTGAAATTCCAGTTTCCTGCTTGAGGCGGGTCTTGTCTCAAGCCTGCCTTTCCAATACGAACTCCAAACATCTTTTTCCCCACCCCACAGTACATGCACACTCGTGGAGAGACACAGCCTCGCTCTCACTTCTCAGCTGCCACATCTTTGTCTCTTTCTAGAATGCCTTTCCCATATTCTGTCTGCCTGAGCCACATTCAGGCCCCACACAGATGCTCTATTCTCAAGAGACTTTTCTGCATATACAAAGTCAAGATTCATCTTTCTCTCCCCTCTTCCTGTTGAACTCTGACTCATTCATAGGACTCACCGCACCCTGCCTTATATTAATATTGGGCATGTGCCCTGTACTAGGCTGCTTAAATGTTCTTTGAATAAAAATATTGACTGTAGATAATGAACACTAATCTACTTTCAAGTTCAACTTCCTCAAGGACATTTATTCAGCTTTCTCTATGGAGTATCTGGGCATTTAATAACAGTATGTGGCAGGGGTGATAGAAGCGCCTCTTCATTCTGCAGCAGACTGCTCTGAGAAGCCTGGCTTAGTCAATGATTTTTAACAGACCTGAGAAACAATCTTACATCTGTAGCAATGGATAGTTTTCTGGCTATAATACTTTATTCATCTGTTTTCCCTTTACACCTAAGTTCATTTTACATATAGATGTTTTTAAAAACACATTTTAGGCTGGGCATGGTGACTCACGCCTGTAATCCCAGCACTTTGGGAGGCCAAGGCAGGCAGATCACCTGAGGTCGGGAGTTAGAGACCACCCTAGCCAATATGGTAAAACCCTGTCTCTACTAAAACTACAAAAATTAGCTAGGTGTGGTGGCATGCACCTGTAATCTCAACTATTTGGGAGGCTGAGGCAGGAGAATCGCTTGAACCTGGGAGGTGGAGACTGTAGTGAGCTGTGATCGTACCACTGTGCTCCAGCCTGAGTGACAGTGTGAGACTCTGTCTCAAAAGAAAAACAAACAAAAAAACCCCCACATTTAAAGAGCAGGGTGACCCCTCATGCCTGTAATCCCAGCACTTTGGGGGGCCGAGGTGGGCGGATCACAAGGTCAAGAGATCGAGACCATCCTGGCCAACATAGTGAAACCCCGTCTCTACTAAAATATAAAAATTAGCTGGGTGTGGTCGTGAGCATCTGTAGTCCCAGCTACTCGGGAGGCTGAGGCAGGAGAACTGCTTGAACCCCGGAGGCAGAGGTTGCAGTGAGCCGAGATCACGCCACTGCACTCCAACCTGGCTCCTGGCGAAAGAGCAAGACTGTCTCAAAAAAAAAAAAAAAAGTAGGTTGACCGTTGAGTATTGTCCAAAATAGCTCATTTTCTAAAAAGCTGTATACTCTTTATGTAAGTTTACTTTTAGAAATCCCAAGAAATTATCATTAGTACATTCAAGGATTAAGCTACAAGGATGTTCATTATAAGGTGACCTATGTTAGCAAAAATTCAAAAATAACCAAAATATTCAAAATGGTAGTGATTAACTACATCATGATTATGTCCCAACCTATGACGTGCTTTGCACTAGTCAAAACTCTATTGAAAATATTGGTGGAATCAAGTTCATGGTATATTTTTAATTGAACGAAAATTGTATCAAAGAATGGAAAAAACATAAATAGGCCCACACAAATATGTCCAACTGATTTTTTTTTACAAAGGCACCAAAACAATTTAATGAAGGAATAGTCTTTTCAACATATGGTGCTGCAGCAATTGGGCATCCATAGGCAAAGAATGAAATAAATAAAATTATTTAACTAATAATAAATAAATAGTTAAAATGATTGTTCAAAATTATTTTACACAATCTATGATCCTTCATAAAGGATCATAGATTTAAATGTAAGACATAAAGCTAGAAAATGTGTAGAAGAAAATCTCTGGGGACTAGTGACAGAGTCAAGAGTCCTTATATATCAGTGAAGCGTTCTTATATATGAACTTTGTGGATAAGAGAAGAAAAATTGACATTTTAGGCTGTGTCAAAATCAAAACTTTATGCTCTACAAAAGTTTCTGAGAGGAGAATAAAAAGACAACCTACAGACTAGGAAAAAGTGCCACCCACATATCTTGCAAAGGACTTGAATCTAGAATAGATAAAGAATTCTCAAAATTGCACAAGAAATAAAAACTTATGAAAACAAAAATCTAATTGTAAAATGGGCAAAAGACATGAACAGATATTTTATTAAAGAGGAGATGGATATGGTGAATAAACACACAAAAAGATGTTCAACTTTATTAGCCGTCAGGAAATGCAAGTTAAAGCCATAATGAGATGCTACTGTCCACCTATCAGTATAGCTAAAACGAAAACTGTTGATGGTAGCAAATGTTGTCGAGGACGCAGAGACATGGAATCACTGATGCACTGCTGTTAGAAATAAAAAGTGGTACAGTCACTCTGGGAAACAGTTTGGCAGTGTCTTATACTAAAAACACTTTGATATGCACTTACCATACAATCGAGCAATTGCATTCCTAGGCATTCATCCCAGAGAAATACAACTTATGTCATGGAGCAAGACCCTGTCTCAAAAAACAGACAGACAAACTTGTGTCCACCCAAAAACCTGTACGTGGTTTTTCATAACAACTTTGTTTGTAATAGTCAAAAACTGGGATCAATCCAAATATCCTTTGGCAATGAATGGTTAAACAAACTGTCATCTATCTGTATCATGAAGTACTTCTCAGCAATATAAAGGAATGAACTACGGATACACATAGCAACTTAGATGGATCTCAGGGAAATTACAGTGAGTGAAAAAAGCCAATCTCAAAAGGTTACACGTGCATGATTCCACTTATATAACATTCACACAATGACAACCTTATAGAGGTGGAAAGCAGATTAACACTTGCCAGGATTTAAAGATGGGACAGAAGAAGGAAGGGAAATGGGTGTGACTATAAAGAGGTGACACCGAGGACTTTGTAGGTGACATAATAGCTGGGTATTTTAATTGTTGTAGTGGTTACATAAATCTATATATAGTATAAAATTGCATCTCTCTAATGACCAGTGATGATGAGCTTTTTTTCATGTGTTTGTTGGCTGCATAAATGTCTTCTTTTGAGAAGTGTCTGTTCATATCCTTTGCCCACTTTTTGATGGGGTATTGCCACAATATTCACAATAGCAAAGACTTGGAAGCAACCCAAATACTCATTAATGATAGACTGGATAAAGAAAATATGGCACATATACACCTTGGAATACCATACAGCCATGAAAAAGAATGAGTTTATTCTTTCCACCATTTTTCCACACCACTGCAATGGTGCATATGAATGTCTTGGCTGATGCTCTCAAGAGCATCAACAATGCCAGAAAGAGAGGCAAACGCCAGGTGCTTATTAGGCTGTGCTCCAAAGTCATCATCCGGTTTCTCACTGTGATGATGAAGCATGGTTACATTGACAAATTTGAAATCATCGATGATCACAGAGCTGGGAAAATTGTGAACCTCCCAGGCAGGCTAAACAAGTGTGGAGTGATCAGCCCCAGATTTGATGTGCAACTCAAAGATCTGAAAAAATGGCAGAATAATCTGCTTCCATCCTGCCAGTTTGGTTTCATTGTACTGACAACCTCAGCTGGCATCATGGACCATGAAGAAGCAAAATGAAAACGCATGGGAGAGAAAATCCTGGGATTCTTTTTCTAGTGATGTAATACATGTATTTACAAACAAAATGCCTCATGGAAAAAAAAAAAAGAATGAGTTCATGTCCCCTGCAGGGACATGGATGAAGCTAGAAACCATCATTCTCAGCAAACTAACGCAAGAACAGAAAACCAAACACCACATGATCTCACTCATAAGTGGGAGTTGTCTATAAGAACACATGGACACAGGGAGGGAACATCACACACCGGGGCCTGTCGGGGGTTGAGGGGCTAGGAGAGGGTTAGCATTAGGAGAAATACCTAATGTAGATGACGGGTTGATGAGTGCGGCAAACCACCATGGCACGTGTATACCTAAGTAACAAACTTGCATGTTCTGCACATGTATCCCAGAACTTAAAATATATTTTTTTTTAATCTCGTGAAACTACACATAGAGACAAACACATACACAGAGGTAAACACTATGAATTCTGAACAAAGCCTGTAATGTAGTTAAAAGTACTGTGCAGATGTCAGTTTTCTGCTCTTGATACTGTACATTTACATAAAATGTAGCCAGATGGGCAGTGGCTCATGCCTGTAATCACAGCACTTTGAGAGGTTGAGGCAGCTGGATCATTTGAGGTCAGGAGTTCAAGACCAGCCTGGCCAATGTGGCAAAACCCTTTCGCTACTGAAAGTACAAAAATTAGCCAGGTGGGGTGGTACATGCCTGTAATCCCAACTATTCAGGAGGCGGAGTCATGAGAATCACTTAAACCAGGGAGGTGGAGTTTGCAATAACCTGAGATCAGCGCCATGCACCCAGCATGGGTGGCAGAGCGAGACTTTGTCTCCGAATAAAAATAGAATAAAATAAAATGTTGAGAATTGGGGAAGCAGGGTGAAGGATATTTTGGACTGTTTGTACTCTTTTTACAATTTATTTTTTATTCTTTTTAATCCACTCACCTGCACACAGATATATGTGCAGTTCCTTGTAGTTGATGATTATTTCAAAGTTTTAGAAGTCTATTAAACAATATGTATACTACAACTATGTATAAATAATTTTAATTTGATGCCTATAACTTGCTTAGGTAGCAATATTTGTTATACAGCAGGCACTTTATTAAAGAAGCTCTCCTTTTTCCCCTTAACCTTATGGATATGATGAATCTTATACCTCATCATGCTTCCTCCTTAGCTTGTGGCCTGAAACAGCACCTCTGTTGACTCTGGTATACTAGGTTATATATTTCTGTGTGTGAAGCTCACCCTTGGCCTTATTAAGATTCAATCTTTATTTTTCTTGTGCCTTACCTTTCTTAATCCTTAAATGTACCATTAATACATTTAAGGATTAAGCTACCAGGATGTTCACCATAAGGTGACTTGTGTTGGCAAAAATTCAAAAATAACCAAAGTATTCAAAATGGTAGTGATTAGCTACCATAGATGTTGTACCTCTCACTTACATATATGCTTGGAAGCCATCTTACATATCTTGTGGAAGGTGTTGGAGTGGAGGGTACGGAGCAAGTGTTGATGGGTTCCCTCATTCTCCACCATGACTTGGCACCAAAGAGGACCCTTCCCTGTTTCTGTAGCAGACAGATCTCTCGAAGAGAGCCCACTCTGCTTCAAGCAGAGTTCCTTTTAAGGAGACCTAATAAAGAAATGGCAGAATCACTTAATGCATTCAGCACTTGATTCCTCAAGTGACTATTAGCTGCTCTGTGTAAAGCCCACAGCAAAGTCTTAATCTTCAACCAGCTTTCACCCATCATCCAGCTGGTTTTTGCTTAGGAAATTAAAGTTGATGTTTGTAAGTAACTAAGCAAGATACAATTAGGAAGGAACTCTGTGTTTCAAAGGAGGTATGTGATATATTCCAAAAATAAGTAGTTATCCCAGATTGTAACCTGAATTTTAAAAAATCAATTTTAGCAATTAGTTATAATATATTGTTAGGGTAATTGATCAGACATGTTTTTCTTCCATTGAAAAGTACTGTCATTGAAAAAAAGACATGAAACTTATATTTCCTAAACATTAATAGTGGAAAAAAACATATGCAAATAAGTATGAAGATATTTTCTCTGGCTCTTGAATGGGATCAAGATATGTATGTTCTGGTATATATGCTTAAAATCCTTCCACCTGGTCAAAATGCTTTCAAAGAGAAAGAATAGCTGATGCCTCTTGTTCAGACTGGAAAGTATTGTGATTACACTGAAAAGCATGGCCCCTCTTGAAGTTTGGTTTTTTACTTCTTTTATTCGAGTATAAAGCAAGAAGGAGGTTTCTCTAAGATGTCCTGATAGAAGCTTTTGAATGATCTGCAGAGGTAGCATTGAGGTGAATGGAGTCCATCAAGATTTGCCAGAAGTATGAAATAATTATCGAAAGGATTCCATTAGAGACGAAAGCTGCCTCGACTAATAGAGACGGAAAAGGCTGACCCTTTTCGGGCTCTTAACTCTCTCTAATGGATGGCCTTACGTTGAAATCAAGACTCAACTGGATCATTGATTCTTAAAGAAAAAATATTGAGCATAGTGGCATATAAGCAAAAGCTGGAAAAGTGGTCACATAGATTTATCTTTCAGTGATAGCTTGAAATGAAAAGTATATTTTTTACCTTTTTCCGAGCTCACAGGAATGGAGGCTAAACAATGTGATATAGTCTCATAAAGTAAAAAATAGTTTTAATAAAGAAACAAAAGTCTTACTTCAACAAATACAGCATGTTTCCACTCCACAAAAAGGAAGCTACAGGTTTTTTTGGATAGGTGTCATTACGTGTTACCAGTTAGATAACACGGAGTGTTCTTTGGCTGGTCTTTGACCCATGGGTCAAATCCTGCACTTGACTCTGAAGGGATCATGGAAGTGCTGCTCCTGCATGAGCATTGGAGCTGTATATTGCAGTGCATGCTTCAGTAGCCCACGTGCACAGCACATACTCCATATGGACCAGGCTGAGTCATGCAAGGCACGCACGCCTCACTAGGGCAAACAGCATCAAATCCCTGAAATTATCTACAATATCCTGCATTTGTTGACAACAGTGACTGATGCCTCTGCCTTGGTTGTTCCATAGCACTTCATTACTGCTGGGTAGAAGTGTTCTGAGTGTCCATTTGGTAATTAAGTAGTTTGTTATGAAGGAGAAATTGCTAATAAGAAATGAAGATACTGCCGTTGTCTGAGCGTAGGGTCCGCGGAAGTCATGGATGTCAAAGAGAGAAGCAAAACCGCAGATGAGGCATTTTGGTTGTCATTTATGTTAATATTAGGTTGTTCCTGATGAGCAAGAAGTGGCCAGTAGGATGAAGGTTGATGCAAAGAACTTATTTTTAGATCTCAAACATAGCACTAGGATTAATTTTTTTAAATTCTGTATCATTTAAATGGGCATATCAGTACACTCAATATACTCGTTAAAAACTAGATCATTAATAAATAAGATTAGCATTCAAATAGGTATTCTGAGAGAACAGAATAATCACCTTTCTTGAGAATTATATATCATGGGTGTAATTTTGCACCGAGGGTAGTAAATAATCCTATAAAAATGACTCAGCAGATACTGGAAATACAATTCTATCATTATTTTCTAATTTATCTAATTTTAAACTACTAAGTATTTTAATTTGTTATTAAAGGTATTATTTTAATCAATAGATAAATATTGCTTAAATATATACATACAACACTTACGTATATAAGCCAGGTGAAGTCAAATATGGGTAGACTTTTACTAACAAAATAAAATGCTTTATGAAATATAATCTCTTTTAAATATAGTATAACCCACACGCTACTCTTAGTTCTTTACCTTCAGAATAACTTTTTTGCCTCATTATGTTTTTGTGTTATATTGGTATGGGTACAGTTTTAAAACAAACCTTTATATACATTTTCTTCAATTCTTTCTAAAAACTTTTATGAATTAAATGAGACAAATATCATGACCTCCATTTTACAGAGGAGAATGCTGAGGCTTACGAGGCTCAAGGAAGTGATTTACCCAAAGTCACACAACAACTAAGTGGTGGGGTCTGGGATGGAATCTGTCTTCTGATTCCTTTCAATAGCGTGGGGTGTGTGTTTAGGTATTGATAGCGCAGATGGTGAGGGTGACTGCGCGTCACAGTTGAAGATCCACTGGTAGCCTTTGTGAGAGAATGATTTGATTAGTAACAGAGAGATGGAGGGAGGCAGGAAAGGAGGAAGAAAGGGAGAAATGAAGAGATGAAATGAAAGAAAAAATAATAAATTCATGGGCCCAGTTCTTTCGGTGCATGGGAAAACCAGTGACTGGTGGATGTCTAACTGTTTGCTTATAAGATATTTTCCTGTTGAGACTCATTTGTATGCTTTTCAGACCACATGACACCTTTGTTCAAAAAAGAAGCACTGTATCACAGTTAAGAATGTCATCCAACCCAGTATCAGCTAATGGAGAGTAAGCTTTTTGCAAGGGAACATCAGCACAGGCATGGCACTAGAGAACATGACATTAGTTGAAACCAAACTAGGATGAACACCAGCACTTTGTAGTTACGAGATTTAGAATAAAGCTGTTGAAATAATAAACATATTGGTATTAGAAAATGAGGTTTATTATTAAATTGTTTTGTTCAGAAATCTCCTGCTTTTATACATACTATGTTATATCTAGAAATGTCAGCATGAAACTTTAAGTATGGAAAATGCAGTTTTTCCTGATTCTATATAATTTTTATAATAGTCACAGAATTAACGTGTTCCAAGAGACTCTAGTAATTTTTAATTACCTCTTCAGCATGTCCTGAGAGGTAAGTAAATCACTGAGTGTGAAGCTTCATCTACAATGTCGAACTTTGCCATGAATGAGTGACCCAGCCTAACTGCCCAGCAGTGTATCTCCATCAGCAGCGTTCAGATACAGATGGATTACTGAAAGTTGTATTATACAAATAAGAAAACCATTGAAATGTCTACTTAGTCTTCTATATTGTAATGAGAATTTGTTTGATAGGGTTCTCCTCCCCCTTTGATTATGTTTATAGCTATAATTTGCTTGCAAGGTGAACTCTAATGGAGTCAGAATATTTAAATATTATAAAATTCACTTGTTGACAGAATTGATAAGGTGCAAGGTTCATAATATCCGTAAGGTTAAGGCGACAATGGAAGCATCTCTAATGGAGTGCCTACTGTGTAACAAATGTTGCTCTCTAAGCAGGTATTGTTATTTTGGTTTTGCATACACCATTGATAAAGGATTTGGAAAAGAGAGTACTGGGGTACGAATGTTCTAGAAAAGCTGAAATGTTTTCACTATATATCAAACTATAAATTCTGCTAATTATGCAGTCATATTACACTCTGGGCAAAAAGATGAATTCTTCTCACTATGGTTTTCAGGTTCCAAGTAGCCATCATATGCTGGATGAATAGCTCAACTGTTCAGAAGTGAGTGGGCCCAAAATGAGAATTGCCAGGGCAGCAGGCCTACCCCATAAGAAGCTTTTAAAACTGAAGATGTTTTTAGTTTCCCCAGACATGAGAAAAAATAGAAATGGATAATGGTACAAATTCTGATAGTCCAAATGTCATGTCAATCATTAAGTAACAATATTTATTTAGCAAGCTAAACCAAGCTCGCCCTGTGGATTAACTTTAAGGTATAATGTTATATATATATATACACAGATAGATAAAGATAGTTTTTAAAAAAAAAAAAAAAAAAGAAGAGAAAACATTTGATTTTTTTATTTCCAGGGCCAAGTGTTAAAAAATGTCAACGGGCCGGGCGTGGTGGCTCAAGCCTGTAATCCCAGCACTTTGGGAGGCCGAGGCGGGTGGATCACGAGGTCAACAGATCGAGACCATCCTGGTCAACATGGTGAAACCCCGACCCTACTAAAAATACAAAAAGTTAGCTGGGCATGGTGGCGCGTGCCTGTAATCCCAGCTACTCAGGAGGCTGAGGCAGGAGAATTGCCTGAACTCAGGAGGCAGAGGTTGCGGTGAGCCGAGATCACGCCATTGCACTCCAGCCTGGGTAACGAGTGAAACTCCGTCTCAAAAAAAAAAAAAAAAAAAAAAGTCAACATATTACTAGGTTCATTTGCCATTACATATAGCCAAATATATTTAGAATCTATAGAAAATGTCTGATTGAGAAACTATTGAAGAAAATCTGCTTCTCAATCAACTGCTCCTAGGACATGGTTCAAAAGCAAGCAGAGGAAGGAAGGAAAGTTTCTTTTAAAAGGTTCAGATGAATAATTTTTTTAAAACCTCTGAATTGGACTTGTTTCCTTTAAAATGAAAAAAGCCAATTTTTTTCAATTTTACATAAAGAGAAAGCAAAATGTAATATTATCAATTACATTTTGCAGGTTTGGAGATCTAAAGAGAGAGCTTATACTCAAGTTAATAGCTTTACTGGTAATACCTTTAGCTAAAGAAGTTTTCAATGTGATTTACATGGAACAAATCAGTTTTAGGTTTCAACATACATTTCAATCGGAAGTACTTTGCAGAACTGAACTAAACATACTAATTTGAGATCAGCACGTGCATTTGAAAATGAGTTTCCTTTTAAAGAAGAAAAATAGCATCGACTTTTACTTACGATTTTATTTTCTTGTTATTACACCCTAGGTTTTTGTTTTAGTTCTTGTTTTATTCTCTTTCCCCTTGACCACATGACTATTTTTATTTAGATTCTGTATGTTAGAGATCAACCCCTGCCTCCCTCCTAAACCCTTTCTGTCTGCTAAGGGACTTCTTGGTTGATGTTGTATGAGCTCAACAGTCAGTTAGCTAGATGCACTTTTCACTGCTCAACCTTTGTTTTGAGCAAATTAAAAAGCAACTAACATTCATTCTTTCATTTTGCTTGTCTTTTGAAAAAATCAGTTAAATAATATGTGCTTAACTGGAGATTAGAGGAAAGGGTCTTATTATAACTATCGTGCAATAAAATCTCTTCTTTTTGTGTCAACAAAGATATAGGTTACATAAACATCAATATGAAAATAATTTGAAGTTTTATTTTTAAATATTCATGTATAGAGATTAGGGCTATCTTTGTGTTAAGAAAATGAAAGACTTCTCATGGTAGATGAAAATCTTGAGTGAGACCTTGAATTTTTTATTTTTTCAGTTACACATATTTGCATTCAGTACATAAATGTTGGCCAGGCTATTCTCCAAAAAAAATGGTTACTTTCCTCCTCTTCCAACAAGATGTGCAATGAAAGATTCCATACTGCCTCTCAGGAAGAGTTAAACACCTGATGTCCATTTTGGCTGGTGCAAAATGAAGCCAAAAAACTAGAAAAAAAAAAAAAAACTCCACACTTGTTTTCAAACTGTTAAGTCTCTAATAATTAACCATTGTTTGAAACATTTAAACATTTTGTCACATATTTAAATTACAGATGTGCCATCGAGTCATTTTCTTTATAGCACATCATCCACTGTTTGTAAATTAGCCATGATCCACATAAGCTTAGAACAAATAGCCCTGTGTCTATGGGATTGGGAGGAGGGAAGTTTGCATCTTTTGTTGTAGAAATTATTGCTTCTGTCTTACTTCATTCACTTGATTTCACACTTAAAACTGACTTTTTTTCCTCTTTGTGATTTTTCTTCCTGTTTCATAAATCTGAAAAGCAAATATTAATGTTTTAAATTAAGCTTTAATATAATATCTGGCATAACTTTCCATGAAAAATAAAGTGATTATATTTTAAAATCACTCTTGAAAAAAGATAGCCAGAAAGGCAAAAACACATATTTTAAATGATAACATTTTCAGGACGAAAATGTTCTGAGCCAGTAGAACAGCAAGAGTAAATTTGCTTACTGACATAGAGCCTTAAGGAATATTATGGAATTATAAACTTTAATCTTAAAGATGACTCATTTCAATACCCTCATTTATAGATTAAAAAGCCCCAACCCCCTGGAGTTAGGTACTTTACCTAAAAATTATAGTGCAAGTGACTGGGAGTTATCCATTCATTTATTCAACAAATAATGTTGGCAAACCTGCCATAGGTTAAATACGGTTCAAGATCCCAAAGTGAAAAAGATCCACACCATATTTGCTACTCATAAGAAATGTATGAGATAGTAGAGTAGAAAAACATGCAGAAGTAACTAAACTATGAAGAGAACATGGCATATCATAAGGATGATACAAGTAAAAGGAGTTACAGGATTTGAGAGAAAGAGCAAAGATTAGAACTCAGGTCTGATTTCCCCCAGTTTATCTCTACCCCTCTAGAGTATAAGATCCATGAAAGCAGGGACCTTGCTGATTCACTGCCGTCTTCCCAGGCCTGATAAAGTGCTAGGCACACGAAAAACTC